CACTTTAATTCCATCTTATGTTTATTAACTACATTTTAATTCACATGCAAGAGTAGGTCAAGTGACAAAGGTGAGATCATTTTACGTAAATCATGATTTTCTTTGCATGATTCATCCATTTGACCATAACCACAAAACAGTTTATTGGCCTGCTGATTATCCACTTCCACAATCTCACTGCGAATGCTCTAGATACTGTATCATGATGAAAATTACTCTGCAAATTAGGCTAAGGGTAGCTTGAATCTAGCCATGGCTTATTATTAACTGCCATAGAGGTGTTACTTGTAATACGTGTGGTAATACTTCAGTCAATTCAAAACTTCAACTACCCCTCTGGGGCCGGATGGAAAACTGAAAAGTTGTATTTTAGCAATTGCTTATGACAATTGGATCGTACAAGGTGGGTTTCACTGAGCCATTTTTTAATTATCAGCACTTATAGCCATAATTAAGGGAGCTTTTAGCAGGTTATACTGTTACTATGGCAACCTGTTGTGTCACAACCAGTGATCTGGCAGTTTTCTGATACCATCAGTAGTAGCATTAAGTGATAAAGAGTGGTTATAATAGCTCATGAAAAGTGCTGGAAACTGTAGCATGAGTAGGACGACTTTCTGTAAGTCACCCAGGTTTGTTGAATTTTGACAAGTGAATCATGTTTTCAAAAAACAGGTTTACACAGTGCCCTAAAATCAGCAGTAAATTAAAGTCTGGAGTGTTTTTTTCTTATCTTCAGTTAAAAAAGCTTTATGAAGAAAGTCAGCAAAAAATTAAAAAGCTTGAAGTTGAGGTGAGTGTGAATGAAATCAAGTCATGTTCTAATTTGCTTCGATCAAATGAATGTAACTTATTTTACCCTCAAATTTGGTTAACACAGTCATTCAAATAAATCCCTTCTCATCTCCAGAGGCCAAGTTCTTTTGGTCAGTACCAAGAATCGCAACCTCTGGGAAGGTCCAATTTTCTGAGCATGCACAGAGTAATCGTTTTGTATTCTCAACCAATCAGATTTGCCAGACTTGACTCTGAACATGTGCAGAGTGATGGGATGTCTGTAAATCACGGACTTCCAGTGTTAGACCTTCCCAGAGGTCTCGATTTTTGGTGCTGACCAAAAGGAGTGCGGCCTCTGGGGAC